AATAGCATGAGGCAAAAGCTATAATAAATTGGGGAAGGCAACTATTAGCAAAAATAAAGGCGATGAGAGCAGGCATAAAAAGTCACCTCCCAGTGCTCATCCATTATGTCATTTAACTGGGTTTAATGAGGATGTTATAATACAACTCTGGCCCCGATATCATGGCGTCCAGCAGGGCCTCACAGGAGGGTACCCGGGGTGTTTCCTGATCAGCAGCTCGTGACAGGGACAAGAGAACAAGGGGAATGCTGCTATCCCCTGATATCTGACCAGCACTTTATGTTTTAAAAAGTGTTTTTACAGCTATTGTTTTATTTTTTCCCCGCACAACCACCTTGTGAAGAAGGTAGGATAGCTATTATTATCTTTCTTTCACAAATAAGCCACTTGTTATTTGGCTTCTAAAGCATATCTAAGCTCTAATTAAAGTTTCACAACATTAATTAGTGTTTAGAGAGGTATCAATCAGTGCATCCAATTTACAACATGATTCAAAAACTTGGGGAAAAAGCAGACTGCCTCATCCCCACACCCCAAAGAGATACGGCTATTTTCCTAACCAACGATCACCATTTACTTCCTAGCTGGCTATGAGAGAACAGTCAAGAGCAATTTATGATGCTCTTATCTCCTTAACAAAAGACATTAGAGTACTGTTAGCAGTACTATAATAACATGTTTTTTGTTTTTTGCTTTAGAGGTAAGGTCTGGCTCTGTCACCCAGGCTGGAGTGCAGTGGTACCATCATAACTCACTGCAGCCTCAAACTCCTGGGCTCAAGCAATCCTCCTACCTCAGCCTCCTGAGTAGCTGGGACTACAGGTGCATGCCACTATGCCTGGCTAATTAAAAAAAATTTTTTTTTTTTTTTTGTAGAGATAGACTCTTGCTATGTTGCCCACACCAGTCTCAAACTCCTGGCCTCAAGCAATCCTCCCTCCTCAGCCTTCCAAAATGTTGGAATTACAGGTATAAGCCATACCATCTGGCCTAAAATGTTTTAAATTAAAGAAAACAAAACCGTACTGATCAAGAGAAGTAGGATGGAGGATCTGGTGAAAAAGAGATAACACTATGAGGAATGACTGATAGTGATAGGCTGGTGGTAAGGAAGGGCAGGGGGTGCAATCCGGAAGGGGTACACAGGTAGGGCTGCACACAAAAGTAGAACACCATTAAACTGAATTTTAGATAAATAATAAACACGTTTTTAGTATTTTTTTTTCTGGCAACTGTGTACACAGACTTCAACTTTCCCTAGAATGTACAATCCTTGAGGGCAGAAATGTTTGCCTCTTTTGTTTACTGCTGTATCCCCAGTACCTAAAACAGTACATAGTAGGTGCTCATGTGTATCTGGCCTATACTAATAAGGTTTATTTCTTAAGCTAAGTAGTGTGTACAAAGGTGCTTGTTATATAACTTTCATACATTATGTATGTCTGAAGTGTGGCATAATACATTTTACAAATTATAGCATTAATGAATAGCTCGTTTTAAAAGCAGTTTCTTTTACCCCACCTCACTGAAGGACTCCAATGGGAAGTCAGAGTATAAAAGGTTGTGAATCACCCCTTACACCCCATTTAAATGTTACATGGGAATGTCAACTTGAGATGATCAGTCGTCAGATATATTTTGTGCTAAGGGCGTGGTTTGGCCTTTCCCAGAGGCTCCTCTTTGGCTTTTTTATTACTATTTCCATAGTCTTATTTTATTAAGACTATGGAAAGTGCTTCCTTTGCCACTGCCCTGACTCCATCATCACATGAAATTTCCCCTCATGCTCTATGGAGCCCGAGCAGCAATTTTCAGAAATTGAAAAAACATATAATTTACTCCACATCTAAAACTCCTATTAAACCCAAATAGCTTATCCTTTTTTCACAGGAGACCAGTAATTGGCCCTCACTAGCTGCCATGAAGCCCTTTTAATCTCACCTTCATCTAGGCTCTCTAAATGTTATTTATATGCACAGAAGTGTATTTATAACCCGCATCTCTTACATTGAGTATTTTTTTAAACATTGGAGAGGTGTTTCTTTTGTAATACAAAGTGGGAAAAGGTAAAGGAATGATTTTTATAAACATATTCTCAACCATGTGAAATATATAACATTTGAAGACTATATAAAAAATAGGAAGACATTTATTTGTAGGTGGTATTATCATCAGTAATTCTTGCTTTTGTTTTGTTTTGTTTTCAGGCAATACGACACTTTTAAATTTTCAGCTGGGTGCGGTGGCTCATGCCTGTAATCCCAGCACTTTGGGAGGCCGAGGTGGGCAGATCACCTGAGGTCACGAGTTCAACACCAGCCTGGTAAACATGGTGAAACCTCATCTCTACTAAAAATACAAAAATTGGCCAGCGGTGATGGCCATGGGCCTATAATCCCAGCTACGTTGGAGCTGAGGGCACCAAGATCGCGTGGACCCAAGGAGGCAGGGTTGCCGTGAGCCGATATCGCGCCACTGCCACTCCAGGCCTGGGTGACAGAGCAAGGACTGCCATCTTCAAAAAAAAAAAAAGGAAAATTTTGTTTCTATGAGTGTGGCAGTATATATGGTGTACAACATTTGTGGTTTGTATAACCATATACGTAGGAGTGTTATTACTGTGTGGTATATACATTACGACATACACATATATGATATGGTTTGTGGTAAAAAAATATTTAATTTTTTTTTTTTTTTTTTTTTTTGTTTTTTAACCCTTTGTTATGGTTGAGTCTCTAATTAGTTTGGCTTACAGACCGTACGGGTGGTTTCCATGGTTAGTAAAAAATCTCCCCCTGGGCAGACAGTTCCCGAACCCCGTCTTGCAGTAAACGTTCATACTCTGACACCCTTGAAAGCCACAAACCAGAAGAGCTTCTTTTGCTATTCCACCTGAGAAGTGTCGGCTAGGAACTGTTAGGCAATACCGGTGAAGAAAAGTTATTAAGCTGGCTTATTAGATCTAGGACAAAGAAAAAGGTAAGTACGAACAAACCAAGTTTGAAGGAATTTTAGTGGGGTATGTATTTTAAACCTATGGAAGAAAAGGACTTTACCCAAGGCACAGAGAGGAAGGTTGAGGTTTTGGAGGGCACCAACAACCAAAACACCTCTTCGTCCTGGAGCGTGGTGAATGAAGCCAAATGAGGGCAGAGAGGAAATCACATCCATCAGAGGGAGTTGAAACCCACCTACTACACTTGAAATTTCATGTTTCAATTTCCTCTCTCATCAAATATTTTACTAGAGAAAGCCATCATCATTCTGATTTATTTATTTATTTTTTTTTATATGGAGTCTCACTCTGTCACCTAGGCTGGAGGGCAGTGGTGCAATCTGGGCCCACTGCAACCTCTGCCTACCAGGTTCCAGCCGTTCCTGTCTTAGCCTCCTAAGTAGCTGAGATTACAGGCATGCGCCACCATGCCTGGCTAATTTTTGTATTTTTGTAGAGATGGGGTTTCGTCATGTTGGCCAGGCTGGTCTTGAACTACTGACTTTGGGTGACCCATGCCCCTCGGCCTCCCCAAGTGCTGGGATTACAGGTGTGAGCCACCGCCCATAATTCTGATTTATCTTACTTCATTTAGGTAAGTCCCTGAACTTCTCTGTGACATTACATAGGGGTGATGATGACAGTAAAATAATAGCTTAATCTCATTAGATTATTGTGAGGATTAAGTATGAAAATGCAGGCAAAGCATTTTAGGCACTATGGTGCATATTGAGTGTTCAGTGAATGTTAGATGTTATCATTCATGTCATTATTATTGATAGTAGTCCCACAGCAGAATCTACAAAAGTCTCAAGAAGCTGGGCAGTGAAAAGGTCAAAAATGGAATGGACAGGGAAAGATCAGTCATCCCAGAACAAACAACTGACTTTATCTGGGTTTGGGTTACAGTGTTCTACCCAGAGGAGATACTTGCAGCTGAGACTGCTAGAATAAAAAGTCACATTCATGGGCTGGGAATGCCTACTTTAGAGGTCATTTCCTGCTGTTGTCTTCAAAAGTGCTTTACGGCTTACATAGCTCCTATAAGTATGTTTCTGGTGTGCTCACTGGTCCTAAACCGGCAGGTGGACATACTTACTGATTGTTTACATGTGGAGAAATAGCCCTGCCCAATATTTCATGGTTAGTGCTGGAACTAGGACTCAAATTCAGGTTTCCTGGCTCCAATTCTACACTTGCTCCAGTATATAATGCTGTCATTTGAAGGTGTTCAGAGCCAGCAGAGGTAGGACTCTGAACTCAGACGCTCAGAAAAAATTTCTGCATAGACGATTACTGTTCTCACTCATTCAGCTATCTGGTAGATAACTCAAAAAAGAAATGAACACTCGGCATGCCATTTTGGGCAGGTTGTCCCCATGGTGATGTGTCTCTTAGGAGGATCTTCTTTGCATTTCGTGTAGATTTCTCCCAAATCTCACAGGAGCAATATTGGAACAGAAAGTGAAACTATATAAATCTCTAATATAACCAAAATAAGAATTCAAATACAGGTCTTTATGATTCATAATATGGCTTGTTGCATATTCCTAATAGAATCACTTTACAGAATATATACTTCTCTTCTCCCCTTTCTCTTTGTTTAGCAACATCAAACAAAAGCTGCTTGGGAGTGGATACTAGGAATTGGTTATAAGCATCCAAACTAATTTCCTCTCTCCTCATTCAATCCCTCAGAAAGAAGTGCAAGAGGAGTATACATTACATTTGCATCAGCATTCAGGATTTAAATTTGTCTTTCAACACTTCAACAGAATTGACTTAGGTAATAATTTACTCAACTGATTTCAGTGCAAGACTCTAAGATAAAAGTAAATTTTCTGAGAGTAAAACAAAACAAAACCAAACTTCAATGGATAGAAAATTGCTTTGAAATCCTAGTTATCTAGGCAACTTGCTATTATCCGTTCATTATTAAAGAGAATAAAAAATTAGTTTGAGAAAAGACATACATTTAAACACACACTCCAGAGCACAGGGTTACCTGAGGCACTGCCGTTAACCTTTGTGGTATGAGCCATGCTGGCTTGAGCCCAATGATAGATCCAGAAAGGAGTGAGGAGTCATGCAAATTTTATGCATCAAGTTCTCAAAGGCATTCAACCTGAAACAATAAAGAGAGCCCCATCAAAATGGATCATTTAAAAATATGTACAACACTAAATCTTAGACTTCTGTTTACAAAGATGACTGCTAACAGAGAAAGCAAATCAGAATGGGGGAAGAAAGACTGTAGATCCAGGAGGTGACTGCACTGGACCTGGCAATATGGAGATAACACCCATGGATGTACCAGTGGCTACATACTGAAAGGAGGTCTCTACACATAATACTCTATGGGAAACAAAATTGGTTCTCTAGAAGTGTGACTATTTTAGGAAAGCGGTCACCAAATACAAATGACCTCCTAATGTGTAGCGCTCTACAAAATATTTTTGTTTTTTAACCATATCTTCCTTTCCAAATTCTGGTTCAAAAGGTTCATTTATTCAACTGCATTTCAAAGCAATTATTGCACCAAATGTTTACATTTTTAAAAAGATTAACTTTATGGAAATTCTTTTGAGATATCTGAAGTCTTTCTACCAACGCCTCTTTCTTACATGCAACCAGCTTTCTAAAGCACAAATCTGATCCAGTCAGTCCTCCTCCTCTTAAAACAAACAAACAAAAATCATTATCTCCCACTGTGCTGTTGCATAAACTTCAAATTGTTAGAGGCATTCGAACCAGAGTAACTCCATCTTGAATAGGGGCTAGATAAAATAAGGCTGAGACCTTTATTTTAAGTCTACATTCCCAGGAGGTTAGGCATTCTTAGTCACAGGATGAGATAGGTCAGCACAAAATACAGGTCACAAAGACCTTGCTGATAAACAGGTTGTGGTAAAGAAGCCGGCCAAAACCCACCAAAGCCAAGATGGTGATGAAAGTGATCGCTGGTTATTCTCACTGCTCGTTATACACTAATTAGAATGCATTAGCGTGCTAAAAAACACTCCCACCAGTACCAGGACAGTTTACAAATGCCATAGCAATGTCAGGAAGTTATCCTATATGGTCTAAAAAGCCGAGGACCTCTCAGTTCCAGGAACTGCCCACCCTTTCCTGCAAAACTCACGAATAATCCACCACTTGTTTAGCATATAATCAAGAAGTAACTTTAAGTATAATCAGTTGAGCAGCACATGCTCCTGCTCTGCCTATGGAGTAGCCATTCTTTATTCCTTTACTTTCTTAATAAACTTGCTTTCACTTTACTCTGTGGATTCGCCTCTTATTCCTTCTTGTGAGAGATCCAAGATCTTGCAGTCTGGATGAGGACCCCTTTCCGGTAACAAAATGATAGAGCATGGCACATAGTTTTGAAACACTGGGGTCCACACTGGGCAATATATTCATTTTATATTGATATTTCTATTTAAAAGTTACCTGAGATTACCATAATAAGACTTATATTTCAATCACAAAATTTAAAACAAAAAAAGAAAAAAAATGAAAACACTGTTTCCCCTTTGGTTTTTCCAAATACCATCTGAAAAATACTAGCAAACAGTAAACAATAGTATATATAGAAATTCCATTTCCATGGTGCTCAAACTCTGACTCTAGACCTATGAAATCAGAAGAACTTGGGTGAAACAAATTCTAAGTTGAGAATTGAAGTGTCAATTCAGAAACCCACATGACCTCCTAGCAACAGGATGCTAGAATAATATCCGTATACACTAATTCTAATGCAGCCATTGAAATCATGTAAGTTTTTAATAAGGTAAAATATTCAAAGTATGTTAGTTAAAAGAAAAACAAAACTGTGTACTATCCTCAACCTAATTTTATTAAAAATACGTATGTGTATACGTACATATTTAATTTAAACGATGAGAAGTAAATGTACCAAAATGTTCACTGTGGTTGCCTCTGGCTGATGAAATCATGGATTTTAGCTCTTTTCTTATTTTTGTAATAATAATTATTAAAAATAAATATTTAGGCCGGACGCGGTGGCTCACACCTGTAATCCCAGCACTTTGGGAAGCCGACGCGGGCGGATCACCTGAGGTCAGAGTTTGAGACCAGCGTGGCCAACACAGCAAAACCTTGTCTCTACTAAAAAAATACAAAAATTAGCCAGGCTTGGTGGTGTATGCCTGTAATCCCATCTACTTGGGAGGCTGAGGCACCAGAACCACGCGAACCTGGAGGGGCAGAGGTTGTGGTGAGCCGAGACTGCACCACTGCACCCCAGCCTCGGTGACAGAACGAGTCAAAAAATAAAAATAAAATATAAATATTTAGACCCTTTCTGTCAATGTTGTTTTATTTGCTTTAAAATCCTCAGGGAAAAGAAAAGGTATTTTTTAAAATGCTATGCAAAAAAGGAAACTATCAGGCTACAATCATGAAGTATAGGGGTTGGAAATATAAGTAAATAAAAAGGAAGGAAAAGGAAATGGCTGATTGCTTTGATCACATAGGGTGAGAATTTCTTGCCACTTAGCTAGTGAAATTTTCCTCATTGTTTAAATGGGTTTGCACCACAGTTCAAAGCTAACTACCGTAAAGGCAACTCAGGGTAAACTGAAAAGGAATCTTTTTTCTCTCTTTTTTTTTTTCTTTTTTAAACAGATTGCTTCTGACAAGCCTGCCCCCCCGCATGGCTTTTCCAGCTACACTGACTAGCACTGTGTTCACCTGGAGAGAGGAGACTCTAAACCGTCCACTCCCTGCTGATCCTTAGTTTCTGGCTGGTGGCACACCAGGACAGGATGGCTCCAAGCTCCCTGATGAAGGGGTAATCACCTGACTTTCTCTTGGAAACAGAGGCACTGGTTCAGGTCTACAACATTGAACTTGGAGAGCAATAACCTTTGTGTGCACAGTCATTGGTGGCTGAATCAAAAGGCAGGCTTTAGGGATAGAGTAAATACTGTCTTTTAAGAATAGGAGTGAACGTCTATAAATTTCTGACAAACGCAGATTTAAAAAAAAAAAAAAAAAGGGGAGACTGGGAAGACCAGAGAGGGAGGCGGTGGGGAAATGAAGGGGCAAAGGAAAGAAGCCCAGTTTCTGGAATTATTCAACTAAGCATACTTTTAAAAGCTAATAACCACAAAACCCTAAGCCAAACCCTGTTTACTGGCCCCCTCCTAGCCTTGTGTGTTTGCACTCTTGCTCCATAACGGCTTGTAAATACCACCATGTAAAACCTTGAAGGCAAACAGAAGACAAGAAGGGACAAGCTGCATGTGCTGGGGGTGAATGAAGTATGTGTCAAGGTATTTGGATGGAGATGTGCCCAGAATCTTCCTAGTCAAGCTTAATAAACTTTGGCCCAAGGTCCTCTCCCGCTATTGAAACTCTTTCATCTGGCAGATCTTTTTCTCAGATCCAAATTGGTGCCTCCCACCCTTCCCCAAACTGAACAATAAAACCAAAATAAGTAGGAAACCTAAAATTAGGAACTATAAGCATATCACTGGTAAAATAACAAGACACCGTCGGCCGGGCACAGTGGCTCATGCCTGTAATCCCAGCACTTTGGGAGGCCGAGGTGGGTGGATCTCCTGAGGCCAGGAGTTCGAGACCAGCCTGGCCAACATAGCAAAACCCCATCTCTACTACAACTACAAAAATTAGCTGCGTGTGGTGGTGCACACCTGTGATCCCAGCTACTTGGGAGACTGAAGCACAAGAATCACCTGAACAGGGAGGCAGAGACTACAGTGAGCCAAGATCATGCCACTGCATTCCAGCCTGCAGAGCAGAGTGAGACCCTGTCTCAAAAAAAAAAAAAAAAAAAAAAAAGACACTGTCACTGGATGTGGATCCTGGCAGTGTCTGTACAAAGAGAACGGCTGTATATTGTGCATTGATTTTTCTCAGTTATTGTTCATGCTGACAGGCAGCCTCAAATTGTGAGGGCTCATTCTTCTTAATGCTATGCAGATTCTTATGCCGGTACATCGTATAAACCAGAAAAGGTTTGGCCACAGTCCATTCCTGTGTTACAGATCGATAAACTGCTTCTTTTCTCCCTCAGAGGAGAGTGCAAACCAGTAAATCTTAAGTGGTACAATGGTAGCTTAGTTCTCCTAGCTAAGAAAAAAGCACTCTTGCGAAAGGATTTAGGAAAATACATCAGAGAAAACAAAGAATTTGTCTTTGTCTATATTTCGGGAGACTGAATGAAGGATGCTGATGCATGTTTTAGTAGATCACCAAGTAAGGTACAATGAATGACGGAAACATTGCATGAGCTGACCCCACAAATACTTTACATTAGCTAAAATGATACAAATATGAAAAATAGCACACTAGAACTTTGCTAAAAAGACACCAATGCAAACAAGTAGTTACATAAAATTGAGATTTGATATATACTCTGCACTGCTAAACTATCAAATGCCACTATCTCAGCTAGAAACAAGATAATGCTGATGATAATATTGATGGTAATGTTGATGGCAGCTAATGTTAATAGACCTCTTACTACTATTATTGAAATATAAAATGTCACCTAAAGTGTATCATTAAGTACTACTAATAAAAAAGATGTCACTTAAATGACAAAATGCTAATCAAGAAATTACATTCATTATAAGACACATCCTCAATTCAGAGGCGATATGAGAAAAATGTGTATCTTACAACTGATGAAATTGTTACATTCAAGGGACTTTTAAAAACACTTAACAGTTATTACCTTGCTTAAACTTCACAACAACCCTACAAAGTACTACCCCTTCTCTCCATTGTATACATAAGAAACAAGCACAGGGAGTTTTAGAACTTGCTCACATCACACAGCTAGTATGACAGCACTGACATTTAAAGCTGTGTAATTCAGCCCTAGAGTTTTGATTATGTCATTTAGAGTAAGGGCACTATGGTTTTAACAAATGAGAACTTAAGGCATAAATGAGTGATGCATATATGTAAGGTAGTCACTTTAGTTACGTATATGCTTACTGCAAGGAGGCTTTGGGCAAATCCTTTTTAGATAAGAAAGCTGCATCTGGGAATTTCATGTTTTTTTGTTTTTCTTTTTTGAGATGGAATCTTGCTCTGTTGCCCAGGCTGGAGTGCAGTGGCGCAATCTCA